ATTTTTGGAATCGTTTTCAAAGTTATAAAAATTCACCAAATCCACATTGTTGTAGCATTTATTAACACAAAAAATGTAAACATTTACTAACACCTAAAAAATAAAATTAAAAGAAAACCCACACGCAGTTTTGTGTGATCCCTTTGGTGCCATGATGCTTTTTAACCTCTAAGAAAACCGCGACTCGTCTTTTGGAATACAATGGTATTGGTATTGGTATTAAAGGGGGGCGCCCTCGCGGGCGTCCAAGCACTTAGGCTACCAGATGGGCCCGTTGTGCCCCCAGGCTGCTCTAGAGGGCGTCCAGAATGCCGCCCCTCCTATAGAAGGTCAGCAACTCCTTTAGCCCAATACCGTGCACTGAGTCCGGATCGATCAGGGCCGTTCCGAAGACTCCCAATCTTGCCCATGTCAAGGCAGGGCACACGGTGAGCAGATGATACGGCGTCTCCTCCCCTTCCATGCACCACCTACACTCCGGGTCGTCTCCAATGCTTAGCAAGCAAAGATGCCTCCTAAGCCTGCAATGTCCTGTGTAAAACACAGTGCAGTACTGACCCAGAGGGACCGACAAGCTCGATCCCGTTGTCTCGCAGTACGCTCCAGCTCCGGTCAGATCTCCCATTCTGGACCCGTCCGTCTACCAGACAAGTCCATCCCAGGAGCCGACTCTGCCCTCTCTCCAATCTTCTCTTGATGGAAAGAGAAAGGTCAATTTGTCAAAGAAGGTCATCTCGGGGATCATGACGTCACTCGGCATGCCCATGACCCCGCGGTCCCCGCGACAGCCCTCTAAAATGTCGTACGGACCCCGATCGAAGGTTCCCTCCCTCCAGAGCCCGCAGCTCGCCAGCCTCACAGCTGTCCTGGCCGCCTCCATCTGCACCCGATCCGCCAGAGAGGGCAACCCCACCAGAGCCTCTAGGGCCCGAATACATAATGTAAATAAGTAATATTTAAATTTTGTCCCGATTACTGGAGAATCCGGATTAGTGGAATTCGGATTAGCGAAGCTCTACTGTATTCAACCTTATATAAAACAAATATTTTTCCATGGTTAGAGCTTAACTGAGAGAATAGCCTGTGCAAATTTCTTCTAATATGAATTACAAAAATTGAAACTCCATACTTGTTACCACTTAAACATTAATATGTCAAAATCAAAACAGCAGTTGTCTAACTGTATTGTAACTAATTAACTACAAGTTTTAAAGCAGCATTTTACTGGTCTTTAAAGAATATAACGTTTGACCTATCCTCTCGACCGCGGAGTTAATATCATTTTGGTGATTCTCTTTCCTAGATCATTCGTTGTAAGAAAAATAAAGCAAAAATAATATGTATAATGCGGTGCTTTGCACAATGGACCTTTTTGCGTTCAACGTCATTAGCAAAGTTTTAATTAAGTCGACCGTCAAGCAAATCTCATTAATAACGCGGCGATCTTCTGGTCTATTTGCATGAATAACCACGTCCTTGGTTAGTGGCGATGTATTTTAGAAAATTAGGGCGTCTTGTTTCTTTTAGGGCATTGAAATAGGCCATCGATTTGGGTTGGTTGGGATTCAGGTATTGTACCTATACCTACGGAAATGGCGCATTCCTAAAATATCTGTGCCGTCTGAGTGACAAATTTGGGACGCCAGACCATCCTGGAAGGACGATAAGAAATTATCTTTCGTAGTATTTCTAATTCGTGAATGGTGCGCATAGTGATATTAATTTTTCCGATATTTCAAATATTTAAAATTATTTTTATATTTTTGAAGCTCTGTGTCTGCTTTTTAGTACTACATGGAGTTAGAGAATGTTAAATATGAAAGCATTCTTTGAGATGTTTTGTCGGATATCCCGTAGACGCTTGAATTTTGATCTACTGCGATGGTTACAAACAATTAAGTACTATTCCCGGGCTTTTGTGACAGCTTCCACTTATCCTGCTGCCTTTTTGTATGATACCACTAGGACTATTACGCATATTAATTTAAAACGATGACTTTTTGATCATCGATAACGGAGAATTATTACAGTTTCCTTTGTCCTTGTTATCTTAGTAATATCTTTGTTACCGTTATCTATTTTCTTTTTCCAGCTGAGAAATTGCCATATGTATATATAAAGTTGATTGAACCTATTTATATTATTTTTATATTTTTGAAGCTCTGTGTTTGCTTTTTAGTACTGCTTGGAGTTAGAGAATGTTCAATTGAAGATGTCGGATATCCCGTAGAGGCTTCATTTTGATCTATTGTGATGGTTACAAATAATTCAAATATGCGACGATATGAATTTAACACCGAACAAAGCACAGAAGTCCAAAAAGGCAAACCAGAGGCCCCATTTAAAAGTTTGTTGTGATCTAAAATCTGCTTTTTCAATCGGAATTCACAGCTAACCGAAAATGTTAACGTGAAAGATATTAGTACTATTTCCGAGCTTTTGGGACAGCTTCCACTTGTCCTGCTGCCTTTTTTGTATGATACAACTAGCAGTACTACGTCCAAGGCAATCATGTTCTAACAATTACTTTTTCGACCATTGATAAGGGAGAATTATTACTACAGCTTCCTTTGTCCTTGCCATCTTAGCAATATCGTTATTACCGTTGAGCCTGGTGATAACAACTGGTACTCATTTTTTTATTATTCCTTTGGGAGTATTTATCTATTTTCTTTGCCTAGCTGAAAAATTGCCAAATTTATATATAAATTTGATTGTACCTATTGAATCCTCTATTTTATTACTCCGCACCACCGAGAAACAGACTTTAATTGCGAAATTTTCACTTGCAAAAACTAACATTATGAGTTCAAAATAATCTTCATTTAAGCTGGTAAGCCTTGTCGTCTCGCTGATGATAACATGCGTGATATTTAAACATAAAATGGCGAAACACTGTTTTCGTTTGATGCGTGTCATTTTAACTTTGTATATGATGGCGTCTACCTTGTGGCATTTGAAACCGACACATTGAGTACATCATATTTTACCTGGAGCCCATGCTGAGAGTATAGGATTGATACTAAAACATCAATACCGGATCCAATATGATGGAAATATATGACCAGTATCTTTGGTCGTTAAATAAATAACTTGTTCGAATTTTATAACTAACGTACTTAAATTTTAAGCGCCCTTTATATCACGTATTTATGAAGTCATTCAAAAACAAGCAACGATGGAAAATAAGCAATTGCTGCAGTGCTCGCGATGGCTTAAGGTGTAGTTTTTGAGGAGGGAGGAAACTATTTCGTCCAAGAACGAATGTCAAATTTAATGTTATTCAATCATTATTGTAATAATAAAATACGAATGACATCAATTTTTCCCAACTTAATTGCAAATTATACCTTATATATCGCGTTTTGATGGAGACCCACAACAATTTCATATTTTTCAAATAAAAATTGTTTTTTCTGCGATTGCTAAAATCATTACCAAGAAAAATTCAGATGGTGCTCTAGGTACTTAAATATTTCATTTATTCGTTTTATTTTCATTTTACCCTAATATCAAAATATTACTTTGTTGGCCTTTGCGAATGTGTGTAAAAGAGCTAAGTTTCCTGCCTCAGGGGGGCTCTCACTGAGGGCCGCTATTCTTTCTCATATTTATCAATGATATAGCTGCCTGGTTCCATAATGCTAATTACCTTCTTTTTGCTGATGACCTAAAAGTCGTCTCGATTATTGCAACTCGTAAAGATGAGGTTTGTTTACAGGAAGATTTAAAACGGTTGATCCGATGGTGTCACTTGAATAGTGTTGGATCCCAATCTCTCAAAATACCTTAGTATCTCGTTTCACCGTCTCCGTGATCCAATAGTTTACAGATAAATCTGGATGGGTGAAAACCTCAAAGCGGTATCAGATGTTAAAGACCTTGGCGTGCTCTTCGAAAGCCGCTTTACCTGAATTCCATAAACCTCCTATATTGTGCTCTGGTTCGACCACACTTGGAATCCTGATTATCATCCTTATCCTGTCGAATCGAACAAGTTCGGCACTCTTTCTTTCGTTATATGGCTTTTAAGTTGGGTGTCGACTTGGTGGATATGGCCCTTGAAAACTTATTAGTCTTGAAAACCCTTAAAGCTTCTCATACCGAAGCCGACCTGATGTTGCTGTTCAAACTTATTAATTCCAGCTGTTTTTGTCCCTCCATTCTGTCAAAGATTGGGTTTTTGGCACCAATACAAATAACTCACCTTAGAATTATATTTTTTGTACCGTACCACAGGACCAACTATGCACGCAATTCATTCATCGCAAAAGCGGCCCTGCTGGCTAATGAGAACGAGCATTTGGACTTTTTCACTACTGAGAGTAGGTTTAGGAATCAGATTCAAATAAGCATAACATAACATTACATAACTTACAGTAGTTATTTATTTTTCCCTTCTTAGCTTGTAAGATTGTAGCCTACGCTTTTACTTTCGTATCAGTCTGTAATTTAACTGTGCATTTTTTACTAGTTCGTAAACTTAATAATGAAAACACTGGGTGGGTTATTTTTTATGTTTCTTTAAAAATATTGCTTTGCATTACAACTAAATATATTTTTTTCTAAAAAGCGTTTGAAAACTACCTATCAGCTTTTACACCAGTTACAAATTATAATATAAAAAATTACGTAGTCACTTCCTGCATCACACAGACTTATTCTATTACCCTGTAGGGCAACAGGTGGCTGTTGTGACTGCTCTATTTCAGGTAATTTATGGAATACCCCGTAGATAAACGGACCGGGTGTCGATCCTTGCGGAACTCCCAAACTCTTTATGCTTCGATTCCGTGGTTATAAAGTATCCAATTAGTTTCGGCGGCTTCTACACGGGTCCCTTGGCAGTCGAAACTCTCCACCCTTTTTTAGCGAGCAAATTCCTCCGATCAAACCGCCTTCGGGCGCTCGTCGACTAACAAAAGCGGCGACGGAGCCTTCCCCCACCGCCCGCCCCGGTGATATCATCTAAAATTCCGGTCTCGCCGAGCTTCCAACGCTAAACAAGGCATATTCGCATTTTAACCGTCTGAGGTCGCAGTTTGAACTTTCGATTTCGACCGTGTACGCGTGTCGCGCGTCTAAAGTCCGTTCACACCGCCGCGACAATAGAAAAATGTCGACGTTAACGCGCGCGAACAGCAACAACCGCAGACCCCAGTACAAGGACTACGTGTCCTTCCTGGAGAGCTACAAGGGTGGCAAAAAGGACGACCAACGCAGCGTTGCCACCTCGGACAGCGGGGTGAACTTTTCGCTGGCTAGTTCATTGAACAACTCGTCGAGCAGCGTGTATTCCGACCTCAGCGACCACCACCACGATACCAAAAGGCACACCGTGAACTTGCCGCCCCCGAAACAACAGAAAAACATGGTAAAGACCGAGATGTTTATAGAGATCAGGAATCCCGAAGACTCGAGAGTGTTCGAGGTCACGCCCGGCGACTCTCAGCTGTCGGTGAGTTCGACCGCCAAGATTTTCGAAAATATCGGCCAGGAAAACGGCACGAAGCAAAACGCCTCAAAGAAAACGTCCATCGGGGAGATTTCGAAGATATTCGAAGCCCCGCCCGCCTCCAAACTCACTTTGAAGAAAGCCAACAGCATCAGCGAGGTGTCCAAAGTGTTCCAGAATGGTAACTCGAAGCCGAAGAACTTCAACACCACCCCCAAGCCGTTCCAGACGCTCCAGAAGCCGGCTATCACCTCCCCCAAGCCGGTGTTCGAGCCTCACCATTTCCCCAAATCTCCCAGTACGGTTTCGTCGGTGTCGTCGCTTTCGACGTCACCGTCGCCGCCCCAGTCGTTGAGTCCGCCGCCTCCGGCGCCGGTTTGCCTTTCCCCTGCTCCGGTGGTGGCCTCGCCACCACCGCCGCCCCCCCCGCCGTTACCGCCGGCTGATTTTGGTTCAAAATCTGCTTCGAATGGGATCGCGAAGCAGAACGGTGGACCACCAGCTAGAATGTCGGCAAACGGTGCGACCGATGGGATCGACGGGAGGAATGGGGTGAACAAGAACGACCCGAGGGTGAAGAAGATGGTGTACGGAGCTTTGAGGAATATGTACGGGGCGTATCACGACAAAGCCAACGACTATATAGCGACGTTGCCCAAGAATAGGGTGAGGAAGAACAACGGATTGGATAGCATTATCGATAGCATAGCGTGAGTACCTGTATATGTATTTCTGACGTTTTGTTGTTGTTCGGGATTGTTATCGGTACGTGTTTACCGGTTTTCGTTGTTAGTCATCAGATTTTTGCGTGAAAGAGGAAAACTAATAGTTTTATACGTTTTCCTATTGAGGCCATAAATAATTACTATCAGCTTCAACTTCGAATATTTACAAAATTTTGAATAAGGGAGAGGTATTCGAAATATCACAGGAAATCAGAATTTCCAGGAAGTTTCGCATTTTTTTTCGTTTTCCACAATTTTGCCGTATCTGCTAAAATTCTAGGATTCATTTAAAGGAGCGTTCCATACATAAAACTTAATAATATGTGTTTGACACTAGAGGGCGTGATCACGCTTTTTTTTCCAAAATTTTAAATATTACAGTATGTGTAGTTTTAGCTACTAGTAAAGAGCGATGATCCCTAGTTTCAAACCGAAGAGATTTGCAAAAATATTAGTAAGTACGAAAAAGTAAGCCCCTAACTTTTTTAATATTTTTTTTTATTTTTGAACCACGGTATCAATAACGCCCGTGATTGTGATCATTCTAATCAACTATGAGAAAAATTAGGTAATAATTAATGTTTAATTGTTTGGCTTTTCGCGTCCTGCAAAACCGCTGGCAGGAATTATTGCATTCTCAAGGCATTCAAAATGTACCACAATGATTTCGACTAGATACCGTGTAGACGATCAAAATTAATAACACTTTGCCGTTCAGTTCTGTCACTTTTTTCCATATTGTTCTTGTCCTTACTTATATTACCTATTTATCATTATGATATTCTGGTATTATTGTCAAGTAAATTAATAGTTTCTTTGCTATGCAAATCTTAATAGTTTTTTTAAATATTAACCATTTTGGAGAAAATATAGGAATTGCAAGGGCGTGTTATTGCTGCACAGGGTGTCTAAAATATTGGTGATAAATTTTAAAACAGCACATCTCAATTTTTTAAAAATTGAATGCTTGTTAAGCCTGTCACAGTTTTCGACATATTTGATTGACGTATGTTGGTTTGAACAGAAGAAGAAACAACTTAAATGGCAAATACTACTATTTTATGGTAACGTCAAATGGCAAAAGCAGAAATAGGCAGATTCTATAATGCAGTAATATTTCCTTCTACATATCAATTTTTAATCCATATCATATTGCACTATGCACTTGTTTCTATTTTGCAAGATATCAATCCTATAATTTTTGAAGGGTAAAATTTGTTGTTCCTTGGTTTTTTTTTTTTGGTTAAATTGTGTTAAATTGGTTCACTCCTTAAAGAAGGTGTAATGGAGAATGTGTAATGTTTTGTTACTCTCTACATCTCTCTACGTCAAAGGCGCAACTTTGGATTACTGTAGATATCTCGCCAGTTCGTATTCGTAATAGAGTTTTATCAAATCGGCCTACGAAAAATAGGCCACGGCTTATTGCTTGGCATTCGTAATAAAACGATCGAACGACGATCCCGAACAAAAGGAAATTATTTATACGAACGCGTTAGAGATTAAAATCGACAACTTTCACGCCGCAACGTGCTAGATCTAGAATCTTGTAGTTTTGATCGGTTTGTACCATTATAATTGTGTCTGTAGGTCGCAAGGCGGTCTGGATAAGCTCACCGGCAGGACGAACCCCAACGTGGAAGCTGATTAGCACGTCAACCTAACCTAGACAAGTCCTGCGTTTTATTTATATATATATATATATATTTTCTGTGAAAATCAATGTATAGTGTAAATATTCAGCTTTTATTGTTATATATACCGTTATTGTAGCCGCTTAACGTCGAGACTGTATACCCCGTGCTATGTTTACTCTAGGAAATAAAAGTTTATGTATTATCCAAACGACGCTATTATTGCAAACCGGCCGCGATACCCGCGGAGAGGCCCGTACGTGTGTGGCCCGCTTTAGAGGGTCGCATAGTTCCCTACCGGTTCTTCACGCGCACCCCGTACCGATACAATGCGTTGGTACTGTCGGGCTATTTTCATTCCCGCGGTACTATTTTTAGACTTTAATTATGTAGGTTGTCGGTATACTGGCATCGTTTCTTATAATAATACAATAAATAGACTTGGGTGGCTTCTGCCTCGATACACGCTAAGATTGTCTGACGTTTAAATAAAACGTTACACTAGAATGGAAATGGGCGTAATAAACTCAATATTCTAGGGACGAAACAGAGAAAATACAGAGTGTATAACGACTATAAATTGATGATTTGATTGCGCAAATCATTTTTAGACTAAATCGAAGCAAGATATAAAAAAGTGGACTGTAACGTCGGCAGTGACACATAATTTTATTTAAGTAATTAAACCATACTAAACAGGAGGGCTTGGTGAAGTCCTAAAACGACCAGTAAAATTAATTGCATCTACCATTTTAGACATCAATTAAATCGGCTGCAGTTTATACTTATTACAACGAATGACGTAGTGCAACTTTGATAATTACAAACGTTCGAATATACATTTTAACATCCTAGCGTTGATGTAATTAATAAATTTATTTATTGCCTTCATCAATCAGGAACAAATTTAAAAATCTATCCACTTACTTAGAGTTTGCAAAATAATAGCAACTAAAATAAACTTGTTTGCGTTATGGTACTCCTGCTCTTATGGCGCCCGGTTTTACGCCTTTGAAGAGAACGTCACAAGGCTTGTGTTACATTGCCAACCTTTACCGAATTTTTAACACGTCAAATTAATATTATTTATTTTATATAAATAGTAACTCGGATAATTAGCGAGAAACGCGATTACACAGATTACGAAATAAAAATTATATTATCTCTGCTTATAAATTTTTTGCTGTATCAGAAAGTATCTTTCTAAGTAGGAGTTCTAATTGGAGTTTCAATAAATTTCAAGTGGAATTTTAAAGGAATATAAAAGTAACACAAAACTATGTATTGCGTATTGAGAAAAGCAAGACTATATCCAACGAATCTATTGAATTCAATTGAATTGAAAATATATTTGGAATTAGGAGTTTGCTTATAATAATTGCATGTAGTTTTGTCCACACAAGTGAAAAAACGCGAGAGGGAATTTAAATAACTTATTTACTACTACATATTGCGGAACCAGTTAGGGAAAGCATTTTGTATCATATATCGGCCCCAAATTATATAATATAATTCCTACAAATTTACGTAAAATTAAAGAAAAAAACGATCTAAGAAATTGTTTGAAAATTATTTCGGATTGTATAAACAACTAACGGAACTATAGTTAAGTTAAACTCTTATCAGTGAACTAATACCACTTTTCAAGTTATCTTATAGTGCTCGTTATAAGTAATTGGGGTGACTTACGCTTCTTTTTTTTTTTGTTATATGGTTGATATGGTATATTTTTTCTTTCAGATAGGGTTTCAATGTTTACCAAGCTTTTATATTTTTTTTAATATTTATTATCCTTGATTGTTATTTATACTAATATCTAAACTTTACCTAGATGCCAGATTAGCCATAACGATGTAAAGCTTATATAATAGTGTAAGTGTAGTAGTTATAAGGTTTGCTGTGTAGTAATTGTTGTTGTGAATCTAAATTGGAATTAATGGTTTAAAATTAAAAAAGACATTATAGTCTACGAGAATGAATTGTTACTCTGATTTAGACTTAATGACCCCTAGAGTGGAAACGAAAAATCTCTTTTTAAGGGTACTAATAGTTAGGGCCGGGCGTTTTTTGAGAGAAATTTCGACAATGTCGAAAAAGTGCCATAAAAAATGAAAGAATTTGAAAAAAAAATTAGTAACCTTCACAAAAAAAAAAAGAATCTTTTTTAATAATCTATCTAAATTTATGTATCTACACAGCCTGAGTATATTAAACACGAAAACTTTTTTATATGGTTACTCACCTAAATATTAGTGTAAGTATTATTTCCAAGATACTTCGATATTTTCCTCAAAACACAGTAAGAAAGAGGAGGAGTACAAAAAATTATGGAATTTCGAAAATGAATGTCCCCCCAAAAAAGTGACAAAAGAATCCTGCACTAATAAATAGAATGCGATGAAGAAGAAAATGTTTTCAGCGTATCAAAAATTTATTTTCAATGTCAAAAACTGGAAATGTCTAACTCTAAATCAACCAAGTTTATTTAGTTATTTTCGAATTTATAATAAAATATACATACGTCTTTATAGGCAAAACAATTATAAGCAAAAAGTGGTAATAACAAAATCTCTGATAATTGTTTTGTAAGCCGCGTTAAACCGAAAGCAAAAAAAAGTTCCGTTATCAGTTCCGTCGAAAAGAAAAACAAGTGCGATAAGCCATTATCGTCGCGGAAACCAATTCGATAAAAATCCACGCGTCTCAAATATGTCGATCCCGCGGCTGCAGTAATATCGTTTATATTGTCATCGAACTTTTCGAATAAAACAATTGCATTAAAAAATTTTCATTTATCTGAAATCGATCGCGACGTAGCGAATTTCCGACGATTCTGATGCAGCGACTATAAAATTCGAGGCAAATATTTATTAAGTTCCTCGAGGTGAAACCGTAGAAAAAATAACAGTTTTCGACTTGAAACCTAATGACGGCATGCATCCAAAGTTGTCCTGAAACCGTCAAGGCTTATTTAATTCGGTCGAATTCTTCCGGTCTGCGTCGAACGATTTTCAAAATTGGCGGCTACAGAGGCAATAAACATTTGGGAATTATAATAGAGCACTAAAATATTGGCAATTTCACTCTTGATTGCATATTGACACCAATTTAAGGTTACAGGGAGACCTACAACTCCCACTTCCGATTTTATTACTCTCTAGTAATTCTGGAATGGCATAACTTGTTTCCAAGGAATCCTGAGAAATATTATATGAACGTCAATACAGTTGTGGCGATGGACTTGTTTACCCTATCTATCTTCTATTTACGTACCCTCCTTACGAAGGTTGGCAATGTTGCTTTGGAAACTGCAGCACGAAAAATGTTTGTAGAGGAGCGGTCAAACCATCTTGTAAAATCGTTTTAGCTATAAATTTTGGCTACCGATCCTTTTCCCTGTACTTTCACTATGAGTCGAAGTCATTGTTATCTCTCATCTCTTACCGCATGATCTAAATATTGAATTTTTCTTTCCTCGATGGTGTTCAATAGCTCCGTTGCACTCATCACATTCGAAACTGTCTGGTACAATTCGAAACCTTCTTTTCTTTTCTCTGTTTAATTTCCTAACCTTCAGCCCTCGCACCCATAGACCTAGACACCAAATACGTAACACGTTACGGTGAGATCCGTTCTCGTAAAAAAATGTTTTTATACTCATGAAAGTTTTCCTCACTTTTGTCGAGTCGCACAATTAGCTGTTAGCTCCTAGACATTTAATAAACTTCACTTATTATATTGTTTGTTCCTTGACATATAACTGTGTTTTCTAAAAGATCGTTAGTTTCTTTTTGGAAACATTGAGACACATTGAGATTGTTTCTTATAGTTCTTGTAGAACTGTATTTAATGCCTAAGATAGCTTCCGAATATAGGTTGGTGAAAAAACAACCTTTTTTGATCAGTATGCCTTCTAATGTTGTTTGTTCTTTATCTCTATTCTGAGATGATGAGCAAATCTTGTTGCTCTTAAAATTTCGATCATCTTTTGATGTTTAACACACTGCCTATCAGATTGTTCAAAAAATAAACGACCTCCTCCAAACACGTCACATTAATATCAATAATACCACGTATAGACACGATTCGTTTGACATTATTTCAATTGGTCTCGCATCATTTATGGAAACATTAATATGCGAGATATTTACTTACTGTCAATATTCAGAATAAATGAATTAGCAACCAGAGTCGATCAGGATGGATAAAAATGTGTATTCTGTGAAAAACACAAATTGTTTCCGAGTGACATCGAATTATGAATCTAGTGTAAGGTTGACTTACTCTAACAAATCCTTCGACACTTATTTAACAGCTTATAAGAAAATGACTAGCATTTGTTAACAATTATAAAATACAAAACATCAAATTAAATTCAAGACTTTGATATATCAATATTTTGTCTGACAGTGCTCAAAGCCTCCGCGATTTCCAAATAATATGATACATATTTTTCTACATACATGGGCTCCATTTTTTTTTAATCAAAATAAAATTTACGAATAGAGTGTAATGATTGTGTATTAATCATTTTGTCGGGAACGCCTACTATTTGTTTTACTTAAATGATTTTGCGGTAAAGTCGAACGAGACGCGGCAAAGACAAATTGTGCATGGTTCTATGGGCGTGCTCGATGTAAATGCAAATCAGCGTGACATAACGAGGATAAAATCGTACCGGCCACGCGTCATTTTCTTCGTTAACCGCAGAAAACGTTTATATTTAATTTCCGGTCGATGTCCATGCCGTTTCCGCGATATTTGCACATTTTTTAATGCCAAGTTTACAGCGCTCAAAACCGACTCTCATAAAATACGGATTAATTAAGGGTATTTCGTGTAATCCAATAAATAAAAGAAGTGCATGTATAAAAACAATTCACCTAATTGGTCTCTTAGATTTTCGACTTTTTTGGTTTATTTTACATTTTAACAGTTATTACTCTTAAATATTACATATTAGTTGGTAGTAATAATTACTAAATGATATTATATTTGTTATTAGGGTTATTTTCTTACACAAAAAATATAAAATTAAGATGTGTTATAGCCATTGCATTTCGATGTTAATTACAAAGAGATAAAAATATAAATATCGAAAAATACTATGAGCCCGATTGTTGGTCGTCTGTTAAGGAAATCCGTGAATCATACTTTAGTATATTATTTTTTCGTGGTTTGAGTTCCCAATAAAACGCTGACGCA